CTTATCAGGAGGCTCAAGGAGCATCTGTTCAATGAGTACTGGGAGACTTGCACCTAGTTAATGCTTGCATCTAAGAAGAAAGGGCAAGCTGGCACTCCATATTAATTTCCTGACTGCTTAGACTATGAATGGGATAAATTGATCGACAGGGTATGTGCTGTTCAAAGGGAGAGATTCATGTCAATTGAGGGAGAAGGAGAGTTTGAGGAGTCTAATATTGTGGCACCTCCAACTAGTAGCAGCACTGTCTGATCCATTGGACCAGCTGCTTTTTGTGCCCTGGTTAGTTTGGTGGAACCCACTAAACTTCCCTCAAGGAATGAAAGTATGGTGGTGAAGGCTTGCCTTGGTAAACCTCCATTTCTCCTAATGTAGATATTTTGTGCTTCTAGGATGACAAGACGGTTGTGTGGCCTGTTCTTTCACTAGTAGTCCAGAAGCTACACTCTTGTCCCCACCCAGTGTCCAGAGTGAGCAGCTTATTTCTGTTACCAGCTATATGCTGTTTCGCAGTGCTCACAACTGCCACTGCCATTCATGAAATAAATAGTATTTCTGAAAGTCAATCAGCCAAAGTTGGGTTACTCAGCTCTCAGCTTTTACACTGATTGAACTTCATCTGTAACCTCTATCTGACCTGGTTGCACCATCTGCTATAGTTTTATCACTGATATTACTGCTCTAGAGTGTAGTGGCTGGCTATGTACTTAGGTTGAATCTTTCAGGCGGTGGATAATTGAAATGTTAGAAATTTCTCACAGGAGCTGACATACATCATCCATTCCTGTCATCAATCATCTTTGTTTGTATGATGCATTGCATGCCACACTTGTTAATCTTGTACTTGCAGCACTCCTTGGTGGTGGTACTGCTGCAATTAATTATTATTACTCAATCTCACCATTGGTGTAAATTTTTTCTCAGTGGCATGGATTGACTTGTCCTTCAAATGCTTTCATGGAATTTATGCTAATTAGGTAGGTAAAAAAATATTTTCAGCCGCACAAAAATGAAGCCCTGTGCTATATTACTACTCCCACAAACAAAGTGCTTGTTTCTCCCATCTGACTACACCAGCAGTGTGGTAACGCGGCCAGCGCAGTGCAGCCAGTTAATTGATGGTTCACTTGACCAGTGAACCAAATAGCTTTTGTCAGTGTACTGCAAAATATATATCTATATTTTTCAGTACACTGATCAGGCCATTTTCTTACCCTTTTGATGTACATACTTGAAAACCCAGGACATACTTGAAAATGAGAGAAATCTCAATGTATCTTTCCTGGTAAAATATTATAAATACATTTGCATTCTCAATATTTGTTCCCAGCTAAGGACTGAAGGTAAGTGGGTTTTAAATTGCCTTCCCTTCCACTTTCATAATTTTCCATTTATCTCTCTGTGACGAAATAACCCTGTCATCTCTGTTTTACGGAAGGTGTATTCAGTCACGTTATCATCCGTGGGTTTCTATAGTTTACTTGCACAGCTAACAACTATACTAAGCACCAGCACTTTAAATATTGTACCTGCTGGCAATGCAGGATAACTTGTTTGTATAGGATATTCTATCTATCTAGTCCACTGGCAATTCTCTATGAGTAACTACTACAGTGGATGAGAAACAGCAATTCAACATTGCTCCATATTTGCTTCAAGAAACAAAGTTTGTTTATTCTGGTTCATAAACAGAATATATAGCAGTTTTCCAAATAACACATAAACAACAGTGACCAATCAGGGACATGAGAGACCCATGAGAAAATTAAATCATTTATAACATGGTAAATCTCAAATAGGCATAATTTAAAACAGGTAATTTAAATACAGATACACCAGACGACAGGTAGTGTAATTAAAAATATCAAACTCTAATTAACAGAAGGCATCAAGTACAGGTAATTCCAGGCAGAGGGGAAAACAATGAATTGAATTAACAGACCCTTTCAATGGCCACCCCTCTCTAGACTAGGACATTTATTTTGGTCTGAACTGCAATTTGTCCAGATTTCAGACAATCAGGCAATCTGACAAATTGCTGAATTCCAAGTCAATATTTACATAAATCAAGAAAAAAATTAGCTGCTCTTTGACCGAACATGTTAGTTCTGATTTGTTATTCTGATATCAATGGATGGTGGGATAAAAAGATGATGGCTAGAGGACAGTCACTAAATTTTGATTTTATTCACACATAAATTGAGAAGTAATCAATAGAGGGAAAAGAAGGATAAATATAATGCATATATATATATATATTATTATATATAATTTTAACTGCTCCTCCTATCCCCTCCCCCCCACAATTTGGTTACTTTTTCTCACTTGATCAGTAAACCAAATGGCTTTTGTCAGTGTGTACTGTAAAATATATACATAATATTATTTTACATATATATTTTTCAGTACACTGATCAGGCCATTTTCATACTCTTTTAATGCATCTGATTCATTTCTAAATCAGGATTTTTTTATAAACATAGCAGTTTCAGAGAGGCATTTGCGTGCTTCTCACTGTGAAAATCACAGTGAGAAGACGCAAGCGTCCATAGGAAAGCATTATGAATGCTTTCCTATGAGACTGGCTGAATGCGCGCGTAGCTCCAGCCACGCATGCGCATTCAGCCGAAAAGGAGGAGAGGAAGAGGAGAGCTCCCCGCCCGGCGCTGGAGAAAGGAGAGTGTATAACCCCTTCCTCTTCCCAGAGCCCGGCGGGAGGGGATCCCTGAGGGTGGGGGCACCCTCAGGGCACTATAGTGCCAGGAAAACGAGTATGTTTTCCTGGCACTATAGTGGTCTTTTAAGATGCATCTATTGATGGGCCGAGCCTGACCGGGAACCAAGATGGCCACGTAAGCCGATAGCTCCCGAGACCCAGGCACACCAAAGCTTCTAAAAGCGCACTGGCAGCGCAGCAATCTCCACCAAATAGCCCACTCACCCACCGGGCACCCCACAGCAATGGGCGGCAGCCAGAAAAACCGGGACACACAGCCGTCGGTCGCCTCACACTTCCGAGCGCAAGGAGACCCGGCGCCATCTTACCCACGTGGCGCCAAAACTCTGACTCGGAGCACAGTGAGCCCCCAGCTCCGGAGTCAGCACCGCTGACGAAGTCCGACCTCCAGCGGCTGCTTAAAGAGGCAGCAGCCGACATAAAACACCACATGGCTGTAGAACTGGAGAAACAGCTCCAGGGCTTGAAGGCAGAAATCACAGAACTGGGGGAGCGGACAGGGCAAGTGGAGCAAAGGGTGGACGACATTATGGACACTGTGACCGCCCAGGCAGACACCATTTCAACTCTGCAATCACGCATAGAAACACTGGAAAACGGACTGGAAGACCTCAGCAATAGATCCAGAAGAAACAACATCAGGATCAGAGGCCTCCCAGAAACCATCACCGGAGAGATACTACACACGCTGCAAGAGGTATTTCTGACCCTCTTACCTGACAAAACCCCACAAGAGCTAACCATGGACAGAGCCCACAGAGCCCTGAAGCCCCCCAGCCAAGACCACACAGCCCCAAGAGATGTGATAGTGAGGCTTCACTACTACTCCATTAAGGAAGCACTCATGGAGGCAACCAGAAAAAGCCCGCCAAAACTAGACGCCGCCACGCTGGCATTCTACCAGGACCTAGCACCCACTACGCTAGCCAAGCGTCGAGAGTTGAAACCGCTCACAATAGCACTAACCCAAGCAGGTATCTCCTACAGGTGGGGGCACCCCTTCAAACTCCTCGTCCGCAGAGACAACATGACCCATATCCTCACAGACCCCTCCAAACATCAAGCATCTGCCTCTAAACTGGGCCTACATCTTCCGACGACAAGACCAGATACCACTACCACCACCGCACGGAGAAGACCCCCACCACTACAACCACTGTGGGAAAAACCATCACTGCAAAGACACCACCACGCGGGGAACAGCCCAAAGGCAACGCCAGGCACTGGAACAAGAATGACCTGACTCCACCGCACCGACTCTGAACCCAGACATCCCAGGAGCAGACCTGCAAGGCTCTCCGAAACGATAGATTAAACGAAGAGCAAGACAAAAGCAGAGACTGCACCTATTCAACAAACCATACTATATCATTTATATTCTTTATACGCAGAGACACTGTTCATACGTGCCACTAATGTTTATTTGTTTACTTGTATACACGCTAACTGTAAGAGAGCTATACAATTGTGCACGGCACATACTAGACATGGGGTAAAACACCCACAACCAAGGGGACTAGACAGCGGGGGGAAGGGGAGCAGGGGCAATGCCAAACCAACTCCGCGGGCAGAACCAGGGGGAGACGGGAGGAAGTAAGCGGGAACAAGAGGGGACTGCAGGAATAACCCACACTGAACCACCTGACCCCCAGACAACCAGCTACAAACCACCCCACCGGAACAACTAGGGGGATAAGGGAGGGAGGGCATCCAACGACCAAACACCAGGGACACAGGACAGCCGGGACTGCCCTGACCCCGACATTGACATCTGGAAACCCCAGCCCGAGGGACCATACAGACACCCCTCCCCCAGATGGGCGCCCCAACCCACGGGAACCGCCAATCCCCCCAGACAGAACTGTAACCAGCTGACCCAAGGACACCACCCCCCACCCCCAACTCACAATTGCCCAGTGGAAATTCTCACACACCTGGAACGGGACGCATCTCAGGACTTACCCCCACCACGCCCCAAGTTAACACCAGGGCACCGGGGTCCCAAGTAAGGGACATACCCAACACGCCGTTAGACTCGAACCTGGCACAGACAATAAGCCCAGGAAGTTGTAAATATGTTCACTGTTATTTTTATTTGTACCCACAGTTCACCCCCAAAGAGTACCATGGCGGGACACAAGACCTCAGAACCACATCCAAATCAGGAAGATACCTGACGCAAAAACCCCAAGCCTCCACCCACAACACAGGGGGCTGGACCAAGGCACAATCGGCACCGCAGTACCCCTCACACCACAATGCCAGCTAATATGAATATCCATTAACTGCAAGGGGCTCAACCACCCCTCGAAACGCCACCAGGTCATGCGCTGGGCCAACAGGTCGGGGGCAGACGTGGTCTTTCTCCAAGAAACACACTACGCTCACTCACGCCCGTTCCCTCTCCTAAGCCGTCACTACCAAACCTGTCATCTCGCCAACTCAAACACAGGCAAACACAATGGGGTGGCAATCTTACTGAAAAAAAACTGCCCCATACACCTTAAAGATGTTCACAAAGACCCGCAAGGGCGATACATAACAGCAACAGGCACAATTGGGCCCACAAAAATAGCTCTGACCTCCATATACGCACCAACGATTCCAGACCCACAATTTTGGCAGACAATACAAGCTCACCTCAGCCAACATCCCCTCCACCAAAGAATAATAGGGGGGGACTTCAACGCCACAATCTCCCCATCCATAGACAGACAACGATACTTCCCCCACACCCAGCAACCCATCCCTACAGATCGGACAAATTGTTGGCCGACTTTATAACCCAAACGGGCCTCATAGACATATGGAGAACTCAACACCCAACAGACCGCGACTATACGTTCTACTCGCACCCCCACCACACCTACTCCCACATTGACCTCTTTCTCATCTCACCATCCCTAATCCCCAACGTCACAAACTCCGCAATAGGCAACATCAGTTGGTCAGACCACGCAGACATCACACTACAACTCCAACCACCACAAATCTCAAGACCTTGGACCTAGAGGCTCAACCCCATACTACTCCACGACCCCCAAATAATTGCCCAACTGAAGACAGAACTCACCCAATACTTCGACACCAACAAAGACTCGGTGCAATCACACGCGGTACTTTGGGCAGCCCACAAAACAGTGCTCAGAGGATCCCTGATCAGCATAGCCACGGCACATAAAAAGAAACACATAGCCCACATAACATCCCTACTGGACCAGATCAGACAACTCGAAGCACAACACAAACTAACCCCCACACAAGACCTCACAACGCAACTGCACCACCAGCGCCAGGCCCTCAAACAGGCCATGGCGAAAGACGCAACTAAAGCTTTACAATGGACCAAACAAATGTTCTATGAAAAATCAAACAAAGCAGACACACTACTGGCCCGAAGGCTAAGCAAACGCCAGCAAGCCAAGCAAATTACCACCATCCATACCCCCACAGGCCAACCAACCGACATCCCCAGCAAAATCGCCGAGACCTTCCAGAAGTATTTCACTGACCTATACGACCACTCCCCTCAACACCACCAAGACGACGGCCCCCTACATGACAATATACAAACCCTCCTAACAAAGGCCCACTTACCGACACTCACGACGGAGGCCCAAGCACACCTCTCGACAGAAATCACAGAGGAGGAGGTGAGGAGAGTAATAGGCACCACGAAACCCAACAAAAGCCCAGGCCCGGACGGATACTCGGGCATCTACTACAAAACATTCACAGACAACCTGCTACCCTACATGACAAAGCTATATAACTCGCTCATGACTGGAGACCAGATGCCCGAGGACATGCTGGAGGCAAATATTTGCCTACTACCCAAACCCGGCAAACCGCACACGGAACCAGGCCACTGCAGACCCATCTCCCTACTAAACGTAGACATTAAAATCTTTACCAAAATCCTCGCCAACAGACTGCTCCCCTACATCCCATCAACAATCCACCCCGACCAAGTCGGATTCGTCCCAGCAAGACAAGCGAGCGACAACACCAGACGGACCTTAGACCTCATATGGGTAGCCAATCACCATAACATCCCCACCCTCCTACTATCCCTCGACGCCGAGAAGGCATTTGACAGACTACTATGGCCCTTCCTCTTCGCCACCTTAGAGAAACTCCAATTTCCAACACCATTCACGACAGCCCTCAAAACGATCTACTCTACCCCAAAAGCAAAATTACTCATCCCAAATGCACAACCCCCCCACTTCCCTATACGCAACGGAACGAGACAGGGTTGTCCACTGTCCCCGATCCTCTTCGCCCTCTCATTGGAACCACTACTACACCTCATACGCACCACCGCCACCATCACAGGCATTGCAGTACGCTCCCAAACCTACAAGGTGGCTGAGTACGCCGATGACCTGCTCCTAACACTAACTGAACCCCTCACCTCCTTCCCACCACTCCTACAATTGGTGAAAGAATACTCAGCAGCCTCAGGATAGAAACTAAACCTGGATAAGACAGAGGCACTTAGCATAAATATCGACCAAGACACGAAGGAGACACTACAAGAAACATATAGGTTTCGCTACAACACATCCCACATCCCATACCTAGGTATACAGCTACCAGCAGCACTATACCGCACATACGCCCTGAACTATACCCCAACGATACAGAAAGCAACAGACGATCTTAAAAGATGGCAAGACCTATCACTATCACGGCTAGGCCGCATAGCATCAGTAAAAATGAACCTCCTACCCCGCTTCCTCTACTTATTCCAAACCCTCCCCATCCCACTCCCCACAACGGACGCAAAATATGTCCAAAAATTAATTGATAACTTTATCTGGGCCAAAAAAAGACCCAGAATTAAAGGGAGCACCATTTACATCCTCAACAGGAACGGAGGACTGGGACTACCCCACTTCCAAAACTACTACTACTCCGCACAACTCACACAGATCCAAAACTGGCACACCCCACAGGGGATCAAACGATGGGCGGACTTAGAACACGACGTATTTGGACGCGACCTCCCATCCCTCTACATATGGGTACCAAAGAAATCACGCCACCTACCACCACCACTTCCCCCATCAATCACCAACTCAATAGACACGTGGGACAAAACTACCAGGAAATTCCCCATCATAAACAACCCAACACCACTGACGCCAATACTACGCAACAGAGCATTCCCCCCAGGGTTAACACCCAAAGACTTTGCACACTATGAACAAAACGACCTGTTCAGACTGCACCACTTCTACACGGGAACTCGAATAACCCCATACAATGATCTTCCTAACACGCAGGCAACATATACCACCCACGACTTCTTCCGCTACTTACAACTGCGAAGCTTCCTAGAGCAACCCGACATGCCAAAGCAGCCACCACCACACTCACACAGTTTGAGAGGACATGCCTACACAATCCACTTCACAAAGGTCAAATTACGGAAAACTACACACTCCTTATCACCAACCAACCCAGGGGGGCATTGGCATATGTGGCGGCTTGGGAGAGGGACCTGGGGTCCCCGGGCGACCCCACCGACTGGCAAGACATCTGGGAGGCAACAGCCTCCATATCCATATGCGTCAACCATAAGGAGCAAGCGTACAAAACACTGCTCCGATGGTACCTAACCCCGGTACGGTTGTATCACATGGGCAAGGCAGACGCGGACCTATGCTGGAAAAACTGTGGGCAGAGGGGCACATACATACACGCATGGTGGCATTGCCCTAAATTGGCCCCACTGTGGGCAGAACTGGCTACCCTAGTCTCAACACTCCTCCAGACCACCATACCATTAGACCCCTGGACATGGCTCCTTTGCAGACCACGAGAGGACCTGACCAGAGCCCAAAACAAAATGACAAACAGGATAGCCCTAGCGACTAGACGGGCAATAGCCAAAGTATGGGGGGCCCCCACACTACAAACAATCATACGCAAAACCAGGGAAGCAATACACATGGACAGGATCTCAGCCATTATTCATGAGACCTCCAAGCACTTCCACAGAATCTGGGACCCCTGGCTATCTGAACCCCACCTACAATAAGGGCACACGGACAGCCTCCATCTCACCAAATAGGCCCGCTTTACCAACATAGCAATCAAAATACCAACGCACTGATACTCAAAGTACGAAACACTACCCCATCCCGAACTACTGGATGACTACCAGACACCCGAAACCGAATCCCGCCATCGTACCCCCACCCTTGTACATAGGTCCTCAACTCCCCCCCCCAACCGACCACCCGGACCCATGGGTGCCCATCAACATGCAACAATGACAATATAAACAGTCAGACAGAGGGCAACCCACCCTACCACAACAAGCGTTACCGAGACAAACCGCAAACCTCAAACGGCCACCAACACAGGTTTGACCAAACAAACCGTGCAAAGGGAAAGAGACCAAGACAGAGTTCCCTGAACCCCACACTACCGCACGACAAACGCCAAACCAACAGACCACACCACGACACAGCAACTCCTTCACAACACCTTGAGATACAAAGACACATGTGTGGAAATTACTGCGCACCTGTACTATTTTGGCTGTACCAGCCCCACCCTCCTTCAATTCTGTACCCTAATGTTTACTTTTTTCCACACTGAAAAACAACAAATAAAGAATGTTTAAAAAAAAAAAAAAGATGCATCTATTGATTAATAATTGTACATGCATTCAAGTTAAATTATCAAACAGCTTAAGTATATCAATATCAGCTTAAAATACATCACCATAAGATAAGTTTGTTGTCATTCCGCTGCACATGACTGGGGGAACTCTGGCAGTCAGGCTGGAGGGACCCTCTCCGCTGGGAAAACAGCAAGGACCTGCACCACACGTCCGCAATACAGGTTGGTAGCTCCCACCTGAGTGCCAAGTTTCCTCATCTTTTATAACTTTTCAAAGGGTGGGCAGTCTGTACTGGTCCACCTTAGATTATTTTATCAAGTGCAGCCCAGCAAAGACTTGTCACAAGCGTTGGATGGGACTGGCAGCTGGTTAGGCTGTTGAGGACTACCAAATATGTAATTTCATGTCTGTGCAGTTAGCTTTTCTCATGTCTATCTTTTACCACCCTACTATCTTGTAATGGGATTGGTCGTTAGTTTCATGCTATGCCTTATCTCTTTGGGCATATTCTAGGTCCTGCACCTAGCCTGACCCTGTCTACTCATGCTGTGTCATCTTATTGCTTATGCCTGAATTCATCTGCAACACATCCAGGCCTGTGTTTTGTGACATGGCTGGACATGTTGTGAGAATAACATCAATTTACTTAATTAATATTAGGTTTGTTCAATATCAATTAGTGTTACACTTACTAACTAACAATTAGACTGGTAGAAAGAAGATTTTGTCTAAGGCAAAGAAAAGGTTTTTTTTTTTACTGTAAGAACAATCAGGATGTGGAATTCTCTGCCTGAAAAAGTGGTTTTATCAGAGTCCATACAGATGTTCAAACAGCTACTAGATGCATACTTGCAAAAACAGAATATGCAAGGATATAATTTTTCAAAGTAGGGTAATACATGCTTGATCCAAGGATAAATCTGACTGCCATTCTGGGGTCAACAGGGATTTTTTTTCCTAGTTTGTTGTAAAATTGGAAGTGCTTCAAACTGGGGTATTTTTTGCCTTCTTTTGGATCAACAGCAAAAAAAAACTAATGTGAGGAATGCTGAACTCGATGGACGCAAGTCTCTTTTCAGGTATGTAACTATGTAACAATTAATATCAGGTTTGCACACCAATCAACAATTAGTAATATCAGGCTTGCTCAGGAGTGATCAATCAATTATCATCAATATCACTTCACTATTCGATTTTCTCTTTATCCCTGATTCAGTAACATGTAATAACTTCT